CATTCTTGGAACCGCTCCTGGATATAAATCGTCCGTCGAAGCTTTATTAAAACGTTTAGCATGACAATAGATGGAATACGGAACTGAATCTCTAAGTATCTATTTGTAAGGAGTAGTTTAGGATAAAAGTATCTTGACTTATTGAGAGCAGAGTTTTGTCATTGAGTAGAGTTGAGCATTTAATTTGTTTATTTGTTTTAAAGAATACAGGGTGTTGTGATTTGAAATAATGAAGTTTGTAAACAAATTTTAAAATAGACTTTTGATGTACCCCTGTATAAATTTAAGGAAGCAATAACATTTTCTGTAAAGTTTATTTTCTTCTCTACCTTTAAACTCAGCACAAGAATTAATTTATAGCATGTTATAATCTTATTCTATATGAATATCTCAAAACCCAAAAGATTTTAAACACACATAACCCCATATAAAATACCATGTGTTCCATAAGAAAAAAATATAACTTTGGTATATATCTTAGTTCTGAAACAACCTGTATGTTTCAAAATAATTTTAAATTGTGTAACTTAACCTTCCCTATAACATTTATATTTAAAAATATTTTTGTTTTCTTAAGATCTTTCGTATAATCAACCGAGGCGAAGAGGTGCGCCAACCCCGTATGGCATACTGGCATCAAAAAAGTGGCTCATCTTTATAACTTTATTTTTTCAGATAGAAAAACGAGATTTGGGTGCAGGCGCAAGTAGTATATGACATAATTAGATTGACTGACGTATTCAATTATTTTCGTTCATCTCCTGTTTGACCGGATTTGGCTAGAACTTTTGATTTTTAAACGGCACTTTGGTATTTTTTTATTTCATCTGAATAGAATATATCAATAATATGTCACTCACAATTTTCATTTCATCAATTTCACACTTTCATAGGGTGTATTTTGCAAATTGCATATGGTTCATAACGACACTGACTTTAAATATTAAGTGTGTGGTATCAAAATTATTTCAAAAAATGTTGAGCCTAACATTAATGAGCCACCTCGTTCCATTTGAAAATCTGAGATATTATTAAAAATGATTTACTTTTAATCATCTAGACATTAATAATTAAAACATTATTTTTTTTTTTTTTTTTTTTTTTTTTTTTTATTTAAAAAATTTATGTTTAACACAGCCCTGGTACTCAGCGCTTCAAATTTAAAAATATAGAGTGTCATTTTCTATCGATAAAAAAAATACCGAGGTGCCATTTAAAATCAGTTGTTTACATTTCATGGTGTTCAGAAAGTAATGAAAATAATTGAATACATCAATCAATTTTGATTCATGTCATATACTAGCATACCAAATTTTTTTTTTTTTTTTAAAAAACAAAAAGTTATAGGGTGAGCAACTCAAGATAATCTGGCATATTTACTGCACTAATACTATTTTGGCAATACTGTTCTGCATATTACGGAAACCATGAAAGCAAAATTATATTGACTATAACTTCCAGTGTTGACTATTAATATTTTAATGATTTATGATTTTAGTTATCGTTGATCTTATGTTACCGATTATTTTTATATTGAATTGTACGATCCTCTCCTTTTTTGTAATGGTTACAAAAATGTTTGGTTGAATTTTTAAACTTTTACTTTTTTTTTTTTTTTTTGTTTTTGTATTAAATATCTATTATACACTAAATAAATGTATCATCAGTAGAAAAGTAGTAAATCGGACATGAAAGTTTCAGTGTCTATGCTATTTTGTAGTGTATTATGGAAATAATACAGTGCAGTTAGAACACAGATAAGAAATAAACATTTATTGGACATATATGGCTTTTATAAATGGATATGATGACATAGTGCCAAATTGAATTTATAATGTGAATTTCTCAAGTGAAGAGACTTCTTTGGTCATCGTACGGCAGCAGGGCCGGTTTTAAGGGCCATTGGGCCCCAAGCGATTTTTTGTCGGCCCCTATCCTCTACGTTAGTTATAAGACAATGATTACGATTATGGTTGGTATGGGTGTGTGTGGTTGTATGCACAACTTACTAAATTATCTACGTAAAAAAAGTTTCAACGAACATACGTATTTTTAATAAACATTTATAAAAACATTTTAGTAATATTAAACAAATTGACAACGCAAAATAAAACATTTATAATAATTTTTGAACAGAATATAAAAGAAATAATCTTATTGGCAAACCAATAAAATTAGACATCGATCAAATGTGTTATTTCTATTTTGCAAACTGGTCAATTATTAAATTGCAATCTAATTTTTCGATATTTGATCCTTCTATGTGGATCAGAGAAAGAGCATCGAGTCTTTCTTGGCTAATTTTGTATCTCAAATAAGTTTTTGATCTCTTTGCCGTAGAAATGAGCGTTCCCTGCCAGCATTAGGAACTGGTAGCAAAAACAAATTTCAAGCAACGTCAGCACATTAGGGAAACTTGATTTTAGTGACTGCACGAGTTCAAATTTTTCAATCATTTCTTTTTATTCATATTACAAAATGAGCCATTTCATCATTTAATACATCTCCTTCTACATCCGACTTATATGTACTTTTCAAGATATTGACAGACACTTCAAATGCTATGTCATCGATATTGCTAAAACACTCCTAAAACGTTCAAGACAGTTTGATAGCTTTAATTTATCTTTCAAGATCTTGAATTATTGAGTCACATATTACGTAATGGGCTTCCACCTTAAACTTCTCTTTGCCACTCAGGTGAACTTCTATTTTCTTTTTTGTTTCGTCGAAAAATACTTTTCTTTTCAGTTCGAGAAAAATCTTCTTTATAGGTAGCATCATCCACTAAAGTCGCTGCCTCGATTTCGATACCGTCAAAATGGAATTGGAAATATTCGCTGCTAAATATCAAACACTTGCTTGCCGCCTCATAAACAATAAAAGGCATTGATGTTAGAGACAGTGGGCCTATATTGAATAATAATAAATAACATAAAAATGAATTATTTATATCTTATTAATAGAGAGAAAGATTTAATTTAATTAAGTAGATATTTCTACCAACAATTTTATTCGTATCGGGCAATTAAACATGTAATTGAAGAATTCAATTATTTAATTGGTAACTTAATTGGTTAAAGAAAATCATATTTATATAAGTACATTTTATACACAGAAAAAACATGATTTAATTCCCTTAATAATAGTTTATTTGTTTCAGTATTATATATAATATCTATAATTAATGATTGTCAACAAGAATATCTTGATTTAATTTGTGGTAAGTAAATTATAATTTAGAACAGAAAGGTAGTATACATTCCTAATTTAATAAGATTTTTAAAACATATATTTTATTTTTAAAATTTCCTAACTTGAGAATTCAACTTACTAAAAGTAGTGTAATTCAAAATTATTTTTATTTGCGTAAAACAATATTTTTATACGTGCAGACTAAAGATTTAATTATTGTGACCAATATGCTGGCTGTAGGGCACTTGACTTAAAGTAGTGACTGACTTTTGATTCAGCAACACTAAGCTTCCCAATTTTTTTTAAATCTTCATTAGACTTATTACATATGAACGAACATAATAGATAAGTCTGAATAAGGGTTTGTGAATCTGAAATTTGGAAAAAGATTATGTCCATCTGGGTTAGCGCATATTTATATGCTTTTGAAATTTAACATACCTTGTGATAATTCGCCTTGTAACAGGTCAACTAAAAACTCATTGTCCGTGTTGACACAAGTCTTTTTCTTCAGCTCCAATGCTGCGTCAAACAGAGCAAAGAATTTCAAAAGATTATTTTCTTTTTGTGGATATTCTGACATTCTATTCAAAATCTTTTTCAATCTGAAAATTAAGGTGTTTTAAGAGAGAAAATCATAATAAAGTAATAATAATAACAAAAGGGCTTACTAGATATATCCAAATGATACTTCAAAATGGGTCATTCGTTTAAAATACTGGACACAGTCTGAAAGGCCGAAGTGGCCAACTGAGTACGTCTGAAACTATTGGTTTCGATCCAATGCTTGAGAACGTCCTCAAACGGTTCGGAATGATGTTCGAGCCAAATTTTGGAATTTAGAGCTACCTACTTCAGATATTTGATCTAAAAAAACATGAATATATAACGTGTGATAGTTTTTACAGAATAGTTCTAACCTTCTCCTTAAGTACTAAATTCATCATCGCAACTATCTGTTTCGGCTCTGGATTCCATTTTGGAAGTATCCTGTTTCTTAAATGGCCAATTGCTCCTACAATTCATTTGACCACCAAGAAATAGGACAAACGTCAGTAATATTTTAATTTAGCAATAATTAAAACATTACACTAAAAAAGAAATAGGTAATAAAAAATTAATTAATTTTATTCTTCAATAAAATTATAATTATTAATATTTTCTCTTTTCATTATTATGAAAAATGTAATTTAATTAAGGAATGTGTGTTTAGAAAATGTTTAATTGGGTTTTTATAAACTTAGCAAAGTTTTAGTTGAATAAACAATAATTTTATTGCTGTTACAATACATTTTCAATTAAATAATTTAATTAATTAGCAGAAAAAATTAATTAATTTTATAAATAAATATGCTTTTCTTATTCGAATTCATATTTTCTGTTTTGAATTAAATTATTTAAGAAGTAAATAAACTGATTTAATACACACGAATAATTTATTTCTCTCTGTGTACTATACCGTTGGCGGTTGATCATGAACATTATATTGTACATAATAAAGAATTTTAGCAAATATTTTCTTTTTACCTTTTATGCCATTTATTTATTTAAAATAAAAAAAAATCATATTTATATTTTCTTTTATGACCAAAATACGGGCCCTTTCGGGACCCGGGCCCCCAAGCGGCCGCTTTTCCCGCTTTATGGCAAGCATTATCGCGACTATATAAAGAGGCAGCGCGGCGAATTTTTTGATGGTCCGCTAATCCACAGGAAGAAGAAATGCGTGAGAACAAAAGGAGAAAATTCTGATTCATAATATAAAGAGCAAAAGAAATACGTACGGAGAATTCCATCACCTTCACTCAGATCTTCTGGAAGACGAAAGAAAATAGACACCCGAAATAGATTTCGAAAATGACCGAAAACAGAGATAGTTTCTCTGCAGACCACAGCGCACTAGGGCACGCGAAGCGCGCCGAAGAGAATTTCCTCGCTTTGGATTCCAGGTCTGCAACAAACGTCGTTTCGGCGCGCGGCTGGCTCACCTGTTGTCTTGCGAGCAGTTGCTTCGCTTGAGTCAGCGGACGTGCATTATATAACACAAATTTAATCCGTTGCACGGTTTTTCGCCGCGCTTCGCCGCGCCGCGCTGCGCATAAGTGCGCGGTATGCTTAAACCGGCGCTGCGCGTAGCTGTAGGCAGCGGGACATTTTCCTTTGAAATAACCTGGATAGTTGACGGGCCATCTTCTGCTATCGCATGCACTAGGTGAGTTGTACTGACCTATAAAAAAGTTAAAAAAAGGTGGTTAATCATGTGTAAAATGTCTATTATAGTCTATTTTATAGTCTGACAGTACAGTAGGTCAGTGATAGTCGGTCGACCGAAACGTTGTGTAATGTTGAAAAAGAAACGGAATCGCGAAATTTTGTTTTGCAATTTTCGATACTAATAATTGTCTAACCCACGTCCAAAAACAAACACATTTCTTTTCTTTAATCGGTTAAATGATTCTTCTCTTTGATTATATCTGTTTTTAGACCAAAATATGTTTTTTCAAAACTATTAATAAATTACAATAAATAAAAAAAAAAAAAAACGGCGTTCCAGTTGGCTTGGAAATGACACACAATAGACATGATCCCTATATCTTGTTACAATATAAAATGACAGCGTCTTCATTTCGTAGCTATCGTGACGCTTTTTTTTCGATAATTTTTAATTGAAAAATAAAAAAAAAAAAAAAAAAAAAAAATCAAAAAAATGTCAATCAAACTTGTGGAAACATGTGATAGGCAATTATCGTATAATACTGTTATGATCATATATTAAAGAAGATATAGTTAAACTTGCCAGACGTAGTTTGATACTTAATCTCGATAAAACTGAATATTTGTCTCTCGATCTTAATGAATATGGAAATTAATTTTGTACCTCTGCAACAGTATGGTCGTTGTTAAATCTGTTACAGGCTGACTGACAGGCAATTGTTTGTCCTTGGTGATTTATTCGTAAATCGTTGGGACATTGGCTGTTAACATCCGCTAAGCAACCAGCTCTCTTGCAGTTATATCGGCCACCATCTCCACGTCCACCTACCGGTTCAATCTACAGAATGTCAATAAATTAGTATTGTTGAAGTTAAAGAAAATAATATTTAAATATTAAATAAACAAGGAGTTTCATACAAAAAATTGTTCCACTTAAAAAAAAATGAAATAAATTAAAAAAATTCTGTTTTTTTTTGTTATTTAAAAATTAAAACTTTAATTTTTATGAAAAATATTTTTTTTTTTTTTTATTTTTGATATTTACTTTGAGTTTGTTGATGACTGAATATTTTCTAATAACGTATTTTCAATTCTGTGACTTGCTGATTAATACAATTTATTATTATCTCATAGTCTTCGTAAATTGGAATCTTTTATATCATAATATACACAGGGTGAGTCTTAAATAAGTGCAAATATTTTAGGGTTTGTGTATTTCGGCTCCAGAAACAACTCCGATTGCGACTCCGTGTTTTTCGATTTTTTTTAATTTGTTATTTAGAAAAAGATGTTTTTTGAATTTTTTTTTGTATTTAAAAATAACAGATGTAAAAATAACAGTTGGTTCTCATAATCATATATTATTATATAAAATATATATTTTCTTTAATTTTCCAAAGTAAAATAACTCGGTTATTTTGGACTGATTTCAAAAACGATAAAGAGAAATATGTGTTTCTTCTGTCGTGATCTACTGGCCCCCCCTTAAAAAATACTTGTACTTATTGTAAGGCTCGCCCTGTATAATTTAGAGCGGATTAGAGCCACCCTAACTCCATAAAAAAATAAGATACTAAGAAAGGTGATTAAGAAATTATTCTCTTATTATTAAAATCTGGAGTGTTTTAATATTAGCTTTTTCTTGGTTTGTTTTATCATTTGTCAAATAACTACGTTTTGATTATTTTTAGGACATTCACCATTTCTTTATATAATCATAAGTCAAAATTTTGCAGTGTATAATACGGCAAAGAATTAGTAAAATACTCCCTACAGTGCTGTTGACATGGATTAAATAATGTAATGTACTTACAGGGCCTTCTTAATTGTTCAAAACATCAACAAGTGAGAGATATCGTAGTAATCTAGCCCAGCGTCTCCTTTCAATTTAATTTCCAATAGGGTAGCAGGAGGTACACCTCCTGCTCCTGCACATTCTACTCTATTTCCACAGTCACCGGTCATGCAATGCTTTGAATTAGGGTCACACCATGTCCTAGGCCAAAATCGCCCTGCCCAGTTGTCAGGAGCATTTACGGAAGTCTAATAAGAAAAATATATTATACGGCTGACAAATAGACAAATCTTTTATTTTTTTATTTTAATAATGATCGTTTGTCATTAAAAATGTCGTCATTGAATACGTTTTTTACATTAAAAAATGTCTACATTATAGGTAATGAATTTCTCAATTATTTTTTTTTATTTCTACAATTCATAGATTCAGTTTAATATACAGTTACATACTGATGTATTACCCGTTTTTATTATACAGGGTGTCCCAGAAATAAGTGCAAGTATTTTAACTATTAGTATAGTTCAACCCCAGAAACACGCCTATGAGTTTTCTTTTCGCGAAAAACAAGATTTAAAAATTCGAAATTTTTTGAAAAATTTTTTGGAATTTTTTTTAGTTTTTATTTAAAAAATATAATTTCGTGATAGTATGGCAACATAGATATTAGCTTAAATTTACAAGAAAGAAAATCCAGAAAAGGTTCAGTGGTTTTCAAAATTTTAGCAAAATATAATTTTTTTTGGATTTTCAAAGTAAAATAACTCCGTTATTTTGGGCTTATTTGAAAAACGATAAAGAGAAAATATGTTACTTTTATCGAGATCTGCCACCCCTTAAAATACTTTCCCTTATTTCTAGGACACCCTGTATAACCAGCAGACCCGGCTACGCGTTGCTGTGACTAAGTTCAGTGATGAGCAAGTACCCAGTGTATTGAAATTTGGGTAAATAGCTAAGTTTTTGCACACGGTAGGTATATACCCAAAGGTCAATAAATGGTATATCGAATTTGGGTAAATACCATTCTACACGGTATATACGCAGTCATACTCACGTTTTACAACAATTTTTAAAAAACAATTTGTTGTTAAATTATTGAATTATTAATATCGCTATTAAAAAGTAGGGGTTGATGGTAGAAGGGTGAAAATTTAGAGTTGTATGTATTTTTTAATGCCACATATTAAAAAAATACAATAAAAAAATTTGAGGTGGACCACCCTTATCACTTAGGTGTATAAAAAATAGATAACAACCTATTCTCGGACCTTCTAAATATACATATTAAATTTCATCAAAATCGGTCAAGGCGTTTGGGAAGTGGATGGTAAACTGTGACACGGAGAATTTTATATATTAGATATTTTATATTTACCGTTTGTCCTTGATTTAAGACGAATCCCCCATTGCGTAAATGTTCATGACCAGGGTTTCCTTGAATACCAACCCATACAGGACCACCCTCTCTATTAGTGATGTCAAATCTGACAGCGTTTACCATGGTGGTGCACAGAAATGCCCATAACATGAAATTTTTAACACCCATCGTATTTAGTTATTTGTTTGATCTTACAAATACACTGAACTACATTTTGATTAGGTGCTCTGTTTTTATAGTTTATTACATTTGCAGCTTACTTATCTTGTATTAAGACTCCTTAAGCATAATATGTAGTTGGATTATACCAAAAAACGTTTTAATTTATTTATATTTCACCATAGAGATTTGATATTTACAATTATTTGTTGTTAAAAGTTTGTGTTGAATAAAAGTATTAATTCTAAAATATTATTTTATATTACTGCACATAATTTTATGTTTTGTATTTTAAAGTGATTGGGATACTTAAGAAATTTGAAATTATAAATCCCTATCAGTGTATTATACAAAGATTGTTATTTATTGGTAAATAAGTGTGACAATTTGAATATATATATAACTTCGAAATTCCCGGTTATTAAATTTTGTATTTATAGAATATTAAGCAATTATTTTAGCAAAATATATCGGCGGATCAGAGGTTAGGGTTAGGATAAACAACATGTATCTCATTCGGAAAAACCAGAAAGTCTCCAGTTTTAAAAAGAAATGAAAATTAATCGTTTATTGACTTATTTATTTATATTACATTTATTGATAAAAATACTAAGGAAATAGTCTATCTATTTTTATATTCGTGCATTAGAGACGGGAGCCACGTCATGGAAACACCTTCTTTCGTCAATTTTGTTTGACGTTTCATTAGACAAATTTGAAATTGATTTTATATTTTAAGGTTTTGATATTTTGTGATTGTATGCGAAGTGGATAAATCTGGAAAACATTATGTCAGGATTCAGACTACAGTGAGATGTGAATCTTAGAAAGAGACTGTATGAAAAATAATAATTATATAATCAATTTTTCCCTAGTACATCTTAAGAGCAGTAAACAATATTTGTTTATGTATTAGGGGAATTCTAAGGGTGTCAATTACCAAGAGGCTATGGCCCGAGGGACAATGATTGCTCGAGGTTATTACCACTTTATAATTTCCGTGGTACATAGGTAATTTTATTCCTTACTGAATTTAGTATATTTTGTCCCATTTTAAAACGACACAAATGTTGTATTTATTAATCTTCCGGCATATTGGTATTAACGCTGCTGGTAGGAACATTGGTTGTTGCCAGTTTACTATTGTACTAAATGACCTGTTATATGATATTGTTATAAATTGACGTTGTGGTCAATCGAGTTCAGGTTTGCAAGCTGGTCAAAGTAAGGTTAAAGCTGAAGAAGCTTTGGAAGTCAGCCTTAATTGGGAAAAAAAAATTCCACAAAAAGTATTCACGGTGGCGTTTTTTTACAATAGACAAAAAATGTAGTAATTACTAGAGGGACCTTTTTACGAAACTTACTTTTTTTATCTATTAGTGCAATATTATACAGTGTCGCTGATATGTATGGAAACGGTCGATTATTGGGTAAAATATACGAGGTACCGGAAAAAGTTGAAAAAAAAACAAAACTCGATATTTCGGAAACCGTTGGATTTAGGTACATATGTATTACAATTTTTGCTTAAAATTGAAGGAAGAATTGAAATACCCAATAATCTACAGGTCTATTTAAGAAAATGAATCTTTATGACCGACCCTGTATACTTAAATTTATTACAGGATATTAGGCATTTAAAAACCCTATAACTTTTGCATTTAACTTTTTGCGGTACCTCGTATACTTACTGCTACTGCCCAATAATCGACTGTTTCCATACTTACATAATATACCGTATGATCAAAAAAAAACGGCGTCCAGTTGGCTTGGAAATGACGATCGATGACATTTCCCATATAATTTTACATATAAAATGACAGCGATCTTCATTTCATAGCCATCGTTGACGCCTTTTTTATTCGATCATACGGTATTATATAATTATAGCGACCCTATATACTTATTTTATGATAAATGGGAAAGATGAGAAATGAACGCTTAGGCACTTATTTATTTGTTTATTCACACAGACCATTTGCCAAATTTCAATTTTACATTATATGATTTTTGAGTTCGATTCTGTTGTTATGCACCAAACTGGATTCTATAATGCGAAGCTTTACAGGTAAAGAGACTCTTATGATCATCGTATGCGTAGCTGTAAGCGTCGGGACACTTGCCTTTGAAATAACCTGGATAGTTTACAGGCCATTTTCTGCTATCACATGTTTGAGCTGAATTGTACTGACCTGTAAAAGTTGAAAGTCAAAATATTGTTAATTAGTATTTTAATGCAACATATCTTAATATTCTATTTCTATAGCCTTTTGGAATTAGTAAACAACAGTGAGTTATGGCATAAAATATTTTGGATTGAAATTTTTTACAAAAATATAATCAAATATAAAGAATATTAAGTTAATTTTACCAAAGGTATTAACTATTTCGACAATATCCTTGATTAAATAATTTGTTAGTCTATAAGCATATCATATTGTAGACAATATTTACCTCTGCAGCAGTAATAATCCGTGTTAAACTTATTGCAAGCTGATTCACAAGCAATAGTTTGTCCCTGGTGGACAATTCGTAAGACATCGGGACATTGGGTGTTAACATCCGCTAAGCATCCTGCTCTCTTGCAGCTATACTGGCTACCATCTCCACTTCCACCTACTGGTTCAATCTACAAAATATTAGTAAATCAGTATTTGCTTTGAAAGTTAAATACAGTTATTCAATGATTTACTAATAGTTAAATGAATATATATTTTATTTACCCAACAGGACAAATCTAATCAGAGACCTAAATAATATAATAAAAATATCTGTAATATTATTTAGTCGAATGAATTAATACTATTAGCATAAATCATCAATAAACAAGGAGTCATTATTAAAAGATTGGTGTTGAGTTTTTTTTGTTGTTAAGTAAGTACTCCAAAAAGTATTTTTAAACAGTTGATTGACAGCACTAAATAATATAATGAATAAACTTACGAATGCTCTAATGTTAAATCCATCAACAAGAGAGATATCGTAGTAATCTAATCCAGCATCTCCTTTCAGTGTAATTTCTAACAGGGTTGCTGGAGGTACACCTCCTGCACCTGCGCATTCTAGTTTATTACCACAGTCACCAGTTAAGCAATGTTTTGAATTATAATCACACCATGTCCTAGGCCAAAACCGTCCTGCCCAGTTGTCGGGTGCATTTATGGAAGTCTAAGAAAAAATAAAAAAAATGTTATTTAGTTGTATAAAGTAGTTCGTATATATTTTTATACGAATATATTTTAGTTGTATACATTAGCAGTTAGTAGTTACTACCAATGGTGCAAAAAATATACCGTATGATCGAAATGGCGTCTAGTTGTCTTGGAAATGACAATCGATGACATCCTTTATATAATTTTACATATAAAATGAGACCGATCTTCATTTCATAGCCATTGCTGACGTTTTTTTCCGATCATATCGTATATCTTTTATAGTATTGGTAGTAGTAAATTTTTACTTAGTACGCTGATTTATACAGGGTGACAATTTGAAAACGAACAGTATTTAATATTGCCTCTACCGATGATAGTATGAAAATTTGGCAAAACACATATTTTTGCTTTACATATCAAGGGGGACAATTTTTGAGGCATTTGTTATCGTGTTACTTTCAAACCCTTGACCCCCAGGGCACCTACCCCTAAAATTTTAAATGGCAACCCCTATTTTTTTTACCATTTTTATGTTTCACCAAATTTTCATACTATCATCGGTAGAGGCAATATTAAATACTGTTCGTTTTCAAATTGTCACCCTGTATATTTTTTTTCCTTTGTGTTATTATATGGTAAACTTTAGGTTTTCTAAGTTATATTTAGAATTTTTTTTCAAAATCCATATTTAATAATAAGAAGGAATCTTACTCAACAGACTTTTCACTAGGTTTAGATCAAAAAGGAAGTAGGTATATTTCTTTCACAGCCCTATGATTTTAAGATGAAATTATTTGTTCAACAATAGAAGTATCTAGTATTAAAATAAGGAGAAGACACTGAAAACATCACACGATCAAATCTATTTTTCCAAGGCTCCTTGATTAAGTATTAGTATTTTTAACATAACCATGGCACTCTAGATTGATTTTTTTTACAAAGTTTTTTACAAAGAGACCTGGTTTATAAATCCAAAAGAGTCTTTTTGCTTCTTTTGGAGGAGTAATAAATGTTTTAAATTATTTAAACCAAAAATTAGAAAATTAAAAAAAGTATATGAATCATTCTTATATTAAGCAAAAAATAAGTATATTTCAGACATAAGTATCCTACACAGTAAAATATTTACCATTTAGACGATCTTTTTAAATAGAAGATAAGAAATAATATTTTCAAAACATTTTTTATTTATAATGGTACATTCTGTATAGATATAACTAATTTTTAGTTTTGTTTTTCTTATTTTTACATAAGTAATAATAAATTTATTTTATTGAAATTCCAATATCGATTTCTAAATTTACTGTCCGGATTTATTAAATCACCCTGTACCGTACAAACATTCAAAACATACTATCTATATTTTATTTAAAATTATTGTTCTTTTATAAATTTACGGTATATTGAAAAATATATCTAACTTTAACTCATTTTTTTAACTACAAACTTAAAAAGAGCTTAATTAAACAACGCTACTGATAATTAAAATAAACAAATAATAATTATTTCTAAAAAAACTGCATTTATATTCTGATAACAGTGCAAAATATCGAAGATATTTATAACTTTATTTAAATCATTAATAATTATAGAGTTATTGTAATTACCGATTGTCCTTGGTTTAAGATAAATCCTCCATTTCGTAAATGGGGATGACCAGGGTTTCCTTGAATACCGACCCATACTGGTCCACCTTCCTATTAGTTATGTCAAATGTGACAGCGTTTACCAAGGTGGTACACAGAAATTACATAATATGAAATTTATAATACCCAGCATATTATATTTATTATTTACTTTAGAAACAACTACTGAACTTCACGTTCAGGATCCTACATTTATAGTTTGTTACATTGCATTTAGCTTATCTACTATTAAGACTTCTAAAGCATTCCCATTTTTATTTATATTAAAAAGCTTTATTATTTATTAATATTTAGCCAAATTAAAATTAATACTGGTAGTTTATTTGCCTAAAAAATTACTTTTAATTGTAAGTTTGATAATAATATTTGGACTTTAATAACAACGTATCATATTATATACCTTGCTTTAAAGTGAATGGAATACTTAAACAATTTGAAATTATAATTTACTATCAGGTATATTTAACAAACATATTTTTCTACTTAAAAAGTGTGAAAAATTGAATATGTATAAGTCTATTAAATATATTATTATATTAAATAAGTTATAGATAATTTTTAATTTAAAATAAAGTCCCTAAAAGTTAATATAAAGTAAAAATTCAAAAGTAAATTTACCATAGGTTTTTTTTGTGCAAATAAAAGGAATATTCTTAATATTTAAATTGCAATTTTTATAGTAATATTCGTATTTATCAATATAAATAAAATATAACATTCATTATTTTGTCCAAAATTATTAAATTCATTATCTACTTCATGTGTTACGAATCCGGAATATTTAATTTAGATTTATGATAATTATTACCTGAGAAATAAGAATATTTATACTTAATTAGTTCTGATGAATTGTGTGGTATACAGCGTAACGCGGATTTTCTTTGTGGTTGAATTCTTTTAAAACAGTAATACGTTAGTATTTTTTATTTTTAACCACTTCTCGAATTTCGTAAATTATTTATTAAGTTCGACAAGTTTCAGTCAAAAATCCTACAAAAATTAAATTACAAATAAAATAATTATATTTTGTTATATACAGTGGGATATTGTTTTATAGTAGATTTATACTGTCTCAAGAAGATCATGATGTCATGATCTATTTAGTGGTTTTAAAAAGATAAATTTTCTGCACTTTTTAAGTTCTAAAATATTTAAATACCTAACGCATTATATCTAGATTTGACTCATCCTTCATACAATGCAATTTAGAAATTATTAGCATTATTTAGCATGTTATTAGCATAGCAGAGCATTATCTAGCATTCCATTTTGATAAAGTCAAATAATAAAGCACTTAACAATTAATTATTAATCATTTGTTCTTTTCTAACTTATATCATTAATATTGCTTTAAATTGTATAAAATGTTAAAATTAAAAAGATTATACAGTAAAAAACCCCTCCAGAATAGATAATAACATTATATGCTTGCTTCATCCACGTTACCGTAGATGGAGCCAAGAAGGCTTAGGTAGGGTATATATAAATTAATCTACGGTAACGTGGATGAAGCAAGTATGTTTGTCCAGTAGGACGCTGGTTTTAATTTTGGCGGTACGATCTGTGATTGTCACAGCTGCCGCTACATGGCGTAGAGCGTCTAGCACTCTCGCCATAGTAGTACGTTTTGTACTCAAATGCTATTCTCTGCTTTTCGTTGGTCAGACCGAGGTCTTCGTTGGTCAGATCCGAAACCGGTCGTCGAATGGCTGTTCCCTTCGGTCTGATGACCTTAATGCAGAGAATAAACATATATGTAGTGTTTTTTGGCCCCTTTTTCCGCTACTCGTATTTTGTTTATTAATAACATTATAGTTTTTCTGAAACATAAAGCGTATATCGTGAATGTTTGAATTAACCTGTATATTTATAAAACTACTTTAAAATATATACCATTATTGCCAGCATATTTTACGAAACATTATTTTAAGAGACATTGAAAATATCATATAGAAAACCTAATTCGAAGCTTTTGTGGACTACTAAGTCAACTGTATATTCCAGTTATGACCCACAAAGAAAGGAAATGCATTTTCTACGAAAACTTGAAGGGATAGGTAAAAAATGGTATAATACAATTTGATAGACAATTAAATTGTGCATGTGCTTCTCCTAAAATATACAGGGTGTTTCATTTAAATTAAACAAGTTATTGTCGTTTAAAGCTACAAATTATTTAAAATAAATTTTTAGACACTCTGTATGAGGTAGTATTATTTTTATTATGGCAACACAATAACTGATTAATAAATAAACTTCAGTAAATATTTAGTATTAAAAACTTTGATAACCTTGGAGAAATGAAGCCTTAAAATTATTACTGCAATTTCACAAAATTGAAGATATTTCAAAAACGGTAAGGTTTAAGTGTAATAAACCTTAATCAAATTTACCTTTATTTTAATCGTAGAAACTAAAAATGTATTAATATACAGGGTGTTTTATTTAAAAAAATGCAACTTTGATATTTTTTATTTATTTGGGACACTCTGTATCTTGTAAAAATATTTTTAAATTGTAGCTAAAAAGTCTAATCGTTTAGCAACAATACCGTGTCGTATGTGGTGAACAACCCTGTAGATAAGGTATATACAGGAGTTTTTACAATCCTGTTCATTCCGAATTTAAAGTTTTAATATATGTAAATTTTTTGAAGTCTTCATTAATGATAACGTCCAGATTTAACAAGTAGACAAATTTAAATACCTGGGTGCTACTTTCAACAACGAGGGTTTGGGCAAAGAAGAAATACAAACCCGAAATCAGAAGAGCAAACAAGTTATTGGATGTCTTAACAGCCTCTGGTGGGACCGAAACTTATCTGCAACAACTAAAAAGAGACTTGGAAGAACATTGGTGGAGTCTTTGCTATGGTTCAGAGCTGTGGACTCTGAGTGCAGACGTGAAGCGCAAAATCCAAGTTGTTGAAATGGACTACCTTAGAAGAAGTGCAGGTATATCTAGGATGGAAAAAAAGACAAATATCGAGGTCAGGCGTATCATGAATGCATCGGAGGAGACAGTACTGGATCGAATCGAAAAATCCAGCTTAAAATGGTTTGGACATGTTTTGCGTATGCCGGAGAACAGGTGGCCAAAAAGAGTTTTTCAATGGGCTCCCCAGGGCAGAAGAAAGAGAGGTAGACCTAGAAAATCCTGGAATGGAACGGTTACGGAAGCAATGGAAGCTCGTAACCTAGAAGCTGATGACGCTCTAAATCGAGATGTATGACGTAGGGTAACGGGAAGGCAGCAATAGGCTGTAGTTGGAAATGAGTATTAAATACTTAAACCAAATCCCGTTTATATATATAATATATGTAAATACCAATCTGAGTGTTTCAGATTAAAAAAAGTGCTGGGTATTGGACAACAATTTTTTAAGTAAAAGTGCTTCAAAATAGAGTTCTAAAAAACTGAGAATTAAAACTCCAATTGGGTTTGTTTTTCGGCTCTGGGGTGTCAATTCCTGTGACATTTTGAAACTTATTACTAGTATCACATATTGCAATCAATAGATCAGAAATAAACTTTATTTATTTTTCAATTACATTATATGATTTTTTACTTTGATTATGTTGTTATGCACCAAACTGGATTCTATAATGCGAAGCTTTACAGGTAAAGAGACTCTTATGATCATCGTATGCGTAGCTGTAAGCGTCGGGACACTTGCCTTTGAAATAAGCTGGATAGTTTTTGGGCCATTTTTTACTATCACATGTCTTAACTGAGTTGTATTTGCCTGTAAAAAATGCATGTTAAAACCGTAATTCATTTTAAATATAACGTATTTTAATAGCCAATTTACGTATTTTGACGTAACTTTTCTGTTTCAGAATTTCAATTTACATTACCATTGCTACCAGAATTTGTAAAATTTTGACAGCTTTCTTGATAGAATGCGAAATATTTTATATTTTGGAAGCATTCAATATTTTAAATAAACTTTACCTCTACAGCAGTATGCGTCAGTATTAAACTTATTGCAAGCCGAATTACAAGCAATAGTTTTTCCTTGGTGTGTAACTCGTAACTCTTTGGGACATCCACTATTAATATCAGCTAAGCAACCAGCTCGCTTGCAGCTATATTTGCTACCATCTCCTTTTCCACCCACAGGTTCAATCTACAAAATATTAAGAAAATCTATTGAGCAGTTAACAATTCTGGATTAATATTAAAATATGTATAATAGATAGTAAAACCAACCGTTATAGTTAAATAGTTTAGGTTCTTAGTAGGTATACTTTAATTTTAGTTAGGTCGTACTCTTATGGAAAAGGCTACAAAAGTGGAATTACTGAAATACTTTTTTGTTTTTTCTGTTGCTTAGTTAGGATGAGTCAATCACTTTTTTTTGTATGCGAACATTTTTTGAAAACGGTTTGGTCTCTTTCTTTCATTGAACCACTTTAATTAATGGTTACATATTTTTTTAATGAAAGATCTCGAAATTTATCGATTTCGTAAGTTTTTAATACTTATTGATATTGGGACTTCGAAAGTAATAAAAGTATTTCAATAATTCCACCTGTATGTGGGCTAGCCTCCAGATTATTACAATAAAATTACTGTTGATTTTTAGTTGTTTCCTAATGAACATGGTTAACCAAAATTTGTTTTTAGAGGAAAGATATAATATTTCTTCGCCATTTTAAATGTTGTTCTGTCATTTCAATTCGTACTTAATTTTAAAGGCGTCATATTATTGGTGTTTTTTAGGGAAGTTTAATTTTTTTAAAACACAATCTTGGAAATTATCATGAAATGAATCTTATTATAGAGGAATTTATTTTTATTTATTTTATACCTATAAACTAATTTAAAAATAAATAACCTATTAAACAGAGACATGTAATTAATGTACTTACGAATCCTCTAACGTTAAATCCATCAACCAGGGAGATATCGTAGTAATCCTTTCCAGCGTCACCTTTCAATGTAATTTCTAAGAGAGTAACGGGAGGCACGCCTCCTGCTCCAGCACATTGCAGTTTGTTTCCACAGTCACCAGTTAAGCAATGCTTTGTTCTTGAATCGCACCATGTCCTAGCCCAGAAACGTCCTGCCCAGTTATCGGGTGCGTTTATGGAAGTCTAGAAAGAAGTTTTTTTTTGTGGTATAAAAGAGCATTCAAATACAGAAATAAAAATAAGGAAATAAATAAACAAGTCAATAAGAAAAAATGTTCTTAAAACCAGTTATAAGTTAAGTCTGTAGGTTCAGATCACAATACATCGAAAAGTTTAATAGATATAAATTTAAAAATATACTCTATGGTGTATACAGTATGTCCTCGGATGTTTTTTTGAATTTGTTTCTTAACAACAAGACGCAAAAACTTATTTATTATTGACATTTTGAGAAAAATGCATTCTTCATAAAAAAAAATTGTTTGTTCTAAAATGGTTTAATCTCGTTTATACTTTTCTAAATTTTCACAATTCGGGGACATACTGTATAGTTCAATTTTCTAGATATATAAGTAACTTTTTGATTTGAATTTTTGGAAGATCTGAGAAAACATCTTTTTTTTCAGGTTTATTTTTTCAATTTATATGTGACAGGAAAAATATACTAAATTAGAAATTGTTAACTTTTAGATTAACAAACGTAGAAGAAATATTATAATTAAGTTTGATTAATAATTTAAGTTTTGGAGCTTCCCTGAGAATGTATACAGTATTAGTTAGCATTTTAGTTTCTCTCACTTCTAAGAGTTTTGAATTAGATGATTCAATAAAATAACAAATTATAACTTTTAGTAACGTGTATTAATGTATATTACTAATGACTACGCTTAAGGACAGACACACTTATTAGTTGTATTAAACTATATTCTCCATGAAATTACTTTGTTTCATCAATAAATAAAAATTAATGGGTTAAATCTCTAAATTATCTATTTACATCTGACCTCAAACCAAGAATAAAATTTACTCAAAAACTATATTCTCCTTTACATAGGCATTTTATATTAGAAGTGTATCAGATATATGTATGTACCGTATGATCGAAAAAAAACCGGCGTCCAGTTGGCTTAGAAATGACGATCGATGACATTTCCTGTATAATTTTATATATGAAATGACAGCGATCTTCATTTCATAGCCATCGCTGACGCCGTTTTTATTCGATCATACGGTATTTGTTTTCTAAATTCTACTACACAAGCCTTTTCTGTTTAGTAGTTTTATGGAAATTTGATAAAAAACATATGTATAAACACTATTTTTAACTTTTCTTTTTCGAATTTAAATATCTTATTTATTTTGTCTTGAAAACCATTAAAATGATATTATAATTATTATATGTTTATAAAAACATTTTTAGTTGACACCTATACATATTTATTAATCTTTTTACTTAGTAAATTTTAATTTTCATTAGATAAATAATTATATGTATTATCATATTTATAATTACCGATTGCCCTTTATTTAATATGAATCCTCCATTACGTAAATGAGGATGACCTGGGTTTCCTTGAATACCGACCCATACTGGACCACCTTCTTTATTGAGGATGTCAAATTTGACAGCGTTTGCCAACTGGCTGCACAAAAATGTGGCTAATATAAACTTTAAAAAACTCATTGTATTTATTGTCTTATTAAGTAATTGACTTTTCAAATACAACTGTACTACCCTTTAAGTAATTAATATATTTATATAGCATTTTACCTTGCATTTTACTTATCTAAATTATTAAGACTCCTAAAGCCTTTGACCTTTTGCCCAAGTACAAAAAGCTCTTATATTTATTTGTAATAGATCATATACACTTGACATTGTTAATAATCTATTCTTGATCATTTGTATTGAAATGGATGGTTATGGTACCATTTCTTTTTTAATTAATACATATATTGTTATTTTTTTATTTTAAAACTGTGTGGAGTACTTAATATATTTTAAATTATAATAAAATAAACATAATATATTACTATTAAACAGCAAGGCGTGAAGCATTTAATATATTAATATATGTATATTAATTATTATTTTGTACAATTTAGATTATACATATCTTTAATATATCCCAGTTTATTATAATTCAAAAGTATATTTATCGCAAATAAAGTATCAGTTTAGGTTTTGTCTCGGGTTTTGTATATTAAAAGAAAGATACATGTATAATAAGTACTTAAATGATAATTTTAGTTTAATACTCAGAAATATAGTTGAATGAAGATGATCATTATAAAACATATTTGACATTTCACAAAAAAATGTTTTTGATGTTTGCATGACAATCAAAACTCTTTATTTATTTGAGGGGTCATATAACGATGGTAAAGAAAAATAATTTGTTTAAATAAAATATCCTTTAAAGTGGTAATTTTGCTGATTTTTTAATTGTTTATCAAATGGGCAAAATTCTGCGGATTTGTAAAAGCTGTTACAAGAGTGGTCACCAAACGGTAGATGACCAACAAATCTCTAGAATGGCGAAGAAGAAATTCACCAGGAAAAAAGTTCACACAGATAATTTGTCAAAATTTACGCCAGGTTGATAAAGAAAGACAGGATGACTGCAAAGCTGTAGCCTACTAACAGGATATTGTACTATCTAACAGTACCCTACCGCAGTATCCTTCAGGCAGAAATCTACGCCATCGAAAGATATGCGTACAATTTATCTTAAATATGAACTAATGGAAATGGAAAATAGCCATCGTATTCTTAAAATATGTTGTTTTATATCTTTTTTGAATATTGATCAAGATAACTTCTGCCTTTATCAATTTATCTTCTAGTTCTTTCCAAATTTCTACCGATATTTCGACCTGTAGGAAGTATTTTACACTTTGACAATAGATAATACTAATTTCATTCTCGACTTAAGACTATTTCCGAACAGTTGTGTATTCCGTAAGGAGTAAAAATTATACTATTTTTGACGAGATTGTACGGTTGACGGACTAGCGTCAACAGGGAGGCACAAAAGTACATTTTTACTCCGAGTAGAATATACTGTATTTTTTCAAACATTACAAATAATTTTTTAATCAATTTCAAACGTTGCAAATAATATAAAAAGTAATACCTTGTAAGTAATCGAGTAACAATTTGTTCATTCGTTGAATTTGACGTTGATTGTTGATTTTTGTACGTTTATGCTTTGGCGTAAAAGTGCCTTATTTTTATGCCTAGGCATTGAAATGACAAAAATTAATACTCTTGTGACATTTGAAAAAAGAAGTCCTTTTGATCTGAAGCTCGATCTGAAGCGAGCGACTTTTTTTGGGGAATATATTGGTGACCGATGCGGGAAAATGACACGCGCCGTAGAATTGTTAATGTTATCATTATCGAGCAGAGTTATGAAGATTTAGCCATTCAGGATGGGACTTTAATTGGAATTATGTCCTAATTATTTGGAAATCCAATTTAAATAAGGTTTTCAATTAAAATTAAAAAAAAATCTGATTTAAATAAAAAAAATCAGATTTTTTATTTTTTTTAAAATCATGATTTTTTCCAACCCTGATTAATTTTAATTACCTGTGGGAGCACGCGTTTTTCACGTGTAATTTACGTGAAAAATGAAATACTAAACTGTTTTCTTACTGAGACAAAGGTGTGTTCCATTAAGATCCATTAAGTAATTTGTTCTCTCACACATTTAACCCATTACTTAAAAATGAAGACGTATTGATTTGAACCTGTTTATTTCAGGAGCGATATTTTCAGAATAACAATGGCTATAAACTATGAATATGATATCTTTGACAGTTATATGGAGAATATATTAAGTTCCTATTTTAAAATGATTTTTATCATGCTTATAGGTAAATATCGCAATAAATGTAAGAAAAATTAAATTTGAAAGATAAGTATTTGAAAGATATGTGTATATTCTCTCTATGCTATGCATAACAATAATTCAAAATTATAAATACATACTATCACTCAATCCAATTAGTTCTTATTATCATAAATTTAAACCAGCTGATAGTCCAGCATAGTTAAGAATAATTTTAAATAATAAAAAAGTATTTTTTTTATCTAAATTTAATTGTTCGTCAGTATTATTACTTCCTATTAGGGTCCTCATTTATCCATTATCTTATCTAGTTTAATTATAAAGATATATTGTGTAAAATCCCAAAGTCTTTTAATATGATATTAAAATATATCAATAATTGCTGTTAATTATATACGATTAAAATATTATTTATATTTTCGAAGCATAATATAAATAACTATTTTAAGATAATTCATAAACGTTTGCTGCTGTAAATAACACCTAATAATATACAGTGTGGTCCTAATTGTGCTCGGGACACTTTGGCATGATATTCTGCAGCATTTCAGGTATTTTTTTACGTAAAAATGTATATTGGTAAAATCCCTACGACCAACCGTTCCCTTTCAAAAATATTTTGAATGGAAATTATCAATAACATTTTTTTTTCAGCAATATCTCATGGGTTCTTTAGTTATAAATATTTTGTTCCGCAGACTCTACGGTTAGTAGTTTCCGAGATACAGACGAGAGCTATTCTTAGTGGGACACATTGTACATATTCTAGTACATTTTTTCTGATTTCAAAAATGTATCACACATCGATGCGCGAGAAATGATGACATCTTGATCTTTGAAACTTTGAGTCACAATAAGCAAGACGAGGACTAGCGTTACATTCGCAAGACAAAGACCAAGACAGACCAGCGCAAGACTCTTGCACTTTTTAATGGAAGAAATACTGATTCAATATATTTTGCAAAATAAAAATTTATGTCAGACAAATATTATACTAAATTCTTTCTTTGAAGTTCTATTTGGAATAAATTAGACATAAAGAAATCTATTTAGCAATGCAAGACATGCAAGAGTGATGCAGTAAGGCCAAAACCAAGACTCCATTTGTGGTCTTATATTTGTTCATCACTAATTACAAATGACTCTTTTTTTAATAGTTTTGTATGAATTTTATAACTATTAGGCGACCATACCAACAGGTATGGTAGGCTATTAAGATCGGCAACAAAAAATAATTTTACTCAAAATAATTTCATGGTGTCTGTCTGTCTGTCTGTCCGTCTGTAACACGTTAACTCAAAAACCGCTAAACCGATTTTAACCAAATTTGGCACAAAAATAATGTGGCACCCGAGAATATGGCCATTAGTTTTTTGTGGGGGTGGGGGGTTGGTACGGGGGTATGGGAGGGGGTTAAAAATTTTAAAAAATCGTAACTCCAAAATTACAGTAGCTAGCGAAACGCGGTTTTCAATTTAAGATTAGGATTTTTTTTTAAATTTTAAATATTAATATTTTTTTATATTATATTGCTGCGTATAATTTATAAATGTTTTCAACTTATGAAATTTTAATGCTACTTCTTCCATATGCATTTAATTGATGTCTGTTGTAAATATATTGTTACGATTATGAACATTTTAACTAAAACGTTGAGTTTACATTGTGTTGTGCATTTCGATAACGAGCAAAACATTTTAGTTTATTTATCTCTGCGTAGGTCTATTATTATAATTGCATATGCATTTTAAATATTTATGGTAGTTCTTTATTTTTTTTAAATATGTGTTGTTTTAGTGCGTCGTTAAAGTTTTAATTGGTAATTATTTTAGCATGGAAAAGTCTGGTAAGGTAAATAAATAATATTGTTCCGATAATTTTCGTTAATGGGTTAAAAGGCTCGGCAAACAACTGATATCAAACATACAAATGTATTTTACGAATTATACAGGGTCCAAATAACTATGCACAAAAAATTATTGAGGTAATTGAATTTTGAAAAATAAAGTTGGTTTTTCCAACCATAAATGGATGATAAAACACTATTATTTTTTTCAGCCGGTCCTGGAACAGATTTGTGTGGTCACAGATTAACGTAGCTAACCTAGCTTTTCCAACTTCTTCCCCATATCCAAATCTTTGGCCATAAATCTATCCGTTGTGACGATATGGAATGTCTAGGGGGAGATACAGTCTTGGAAATCGTTTGATAAAAAGTACATGTGTTTTTTTTCTACTATTTGTACATTATTTTCTCGCTCTTTTTTTTAAACATTTATAATATATTTTAGATCATAATAATGATCGTCTTTAGTAAGGTATAACTTGTATCTACTAAGTACTAAGGTACAATCTAAAATATTACTTTTTTAATGTGAAAATTGTATTGAGTGTAATATGACTTAAATATATAGTAGCTGAATTTCTATTTTTCTGAGATAGAACTGTTATATAGGGCAACGGCCCAGCTACGTGGAAACACCGGTTCCCATTATAACACCGAAGTTAAGCGACGTAAGGCGATGCTAGTGGATGGACGGGTGACCGGTTCGAAACTTTGCATCGTGCTGTTGTCCAAAAGGGAAAAGTGTAAAATCTATTGATACACACTGCTCATTCACGCCGGTTCAAGGCCGGATGAGATCGGATATCTCGTGAGTAAGAGTTAATTTAGACACTTCCTAAGTCGGTAGGCCATTGACCATGATATGGCCGAGGACCGCGGTTCGGATTCCGCGTAAACAAGTAGGTCCCGTCCAGTTTAGCCATTGCAGCAGAAAGGAGACGTTAACTTGAACCTCAAAAAAAAACTGTTATATAATAAAAAAATATATTCTTTATACGATCAAATTAATTATTAAGATCAAATTACTAAATGT